ACATACAAGGTGATTTAGCCACTTTAATCTGTCTTAAAAAGTCAATTTAAAATAGTGTTGGTTGGTGTAATATTCATACGACATACATAAATCATGTTCTCCTTGATGTCAGATAAGCCATTTTAAACACATTTCTAGCCACAATATGTTATATAACTGGCTGGAAAATGTTATATACTTAAGGAGCATGGAAAAAGAAAAACCAACCTTCTTTCAAAGGATCTCCAGTTATCTTTCTCACTTGCCTCTCCCAGCTCCCGTGATAACATGCAGTCCCAATATTACTCTTCAAATGGCTTTGCTGTGAATCTTGTATGAGTCTTCCGGAGTGTGTATGATGTGCGTCCTTCTCTTCAGACATGAACGGCATGGACCCTGACGTGGTGGTGTCCACCAGACCTTTCCGTAACGTCGGCCTCTCTAAAGCAGCACATACCCACCGGCTGAGGAAGCTACGCACTCCGTCAAAGTGCCGCGAGTGTGACAGCTACGTTTACTTCCAGGGGGCCGAGTGTGAGGAGGTGAGTCCTTTATTTAATCATCTGCTAACATCAGACCTGCAGAGAGAGACTCCCAATGATAATCACACCGGGTTCTTCTCTGTCTTCAGTGTTTCCTGGCGTGTCACAAGCGCTGTCTGGAGACTCTGGCCATCCAGTGCGGTCACAAGAAGCTGCAGGGCCGTCTGCAGCTGTTCGGCAGGGACTTCTCTCAGGTAGCCAGCTGTGCCAGCGACGGCATCCCCTTCATCATCACCAAGTGCATCTCTGAGATAGAGAGACGGGCGCTCAAGATGAAGGTGAGGCAGTGAAAATGTTTGTATTAAACCGAGCGCTGGAAGTCTTTGCCACTGACGTGTTTTAAACTGTCTTCTTCCTCCTTGCAGGGCATCTACAGGGTGAACGGGGTGAAGACTCGGGTGGAGAAGCTGTGTCAGGCCTTTGAGAACGGCAAGGAGCTGGTGGAGCTGTCCCAGTGTTCACCGCATGACATCAGCAATGTCCTCAAGCTTTACCTCCGACAGGTAAACATGCAGGAGTGAACACGAGAGCCTATAGTGAGATGTGGAACCATGGCAGCTTTCATAGTGGCAGGGTTGTAGTATAATAAAGCACTGTCAACAGACTAATACAATCACATATATTAAAGGTTGTGTTTTCAGTCTCTCTAAAATGTCTTCCTGTATCCGTCACCCCCAGCTGCCAGAGCCCATCATGCTGTTCCGCCTGTACAACAGTCTGATGGGTTTGGCGAAGGAGAGTCTGCAGGGAGAGGCTGACACAGCGGAGGGAGAGGAGGTGGAGTCGAACAGCATCAACCCGGCGGTGGGCAAAGGGCCCGAGCTGGTGGACCTGGGCCCCAACAGCGACCCCGAGGTCCTGGTCCTGGTGGACAAGCTGAAGGAGCTTCTGAAGGAGCCGCCCAAAGCTAACGTCGCTACGCTGCGCTACATCATTCGCCACCTCCGGAGGTCAGTCTTTTAAAAAAACAAAACGACATGAACACAATTGGGACACCATTTACAAACATTTTGAAAAATACTCTAAAGTTATCTCGTAACATTTATTTGCCATTTAAGTACTTAATCTATTTTATATAGATTTAAGTACTAGCTTTTAACAATATCTGTGATTGCCTTTCAGTCTGTAGATAGCAGTGGTTGCTGGCATGTAGCTTAAATATCATCTGTGGTGTTTATTACCTCACTGTCATTCAACATTGAGAAATATCATTTTTTTTGCCGTTTTCTTTTCTCCTTAAGAAACTGTTAAGACTCTTCAAGTCTTGCTCCCTTCAGTTCATCACCTTAGGAGTTCTTTTAATAGCTAAATGCTTTATGAATGACTTTAAACTTTATCCCGATCTTGTATTAACTTTAAGGGGCAATCCTTACAAAACGGCTCCAAACTCTCTATATAGTTTGTCTTGATCCTTCTTCTATCTTCCTCCCTCCAGGATTGCAGAGCTGGAGGAGGACAACAAGATGAGTCCCAGTAACCTGGGTATTGTGTTCGGCCCCTCCCTGATGCGCCCCCGTCCCACCGGAGCCACCATCTCCCTCTCCTCTCTGGTCGATTACCCCCACCAGGCTCGCATCATTGAGTGTCTCATCGTCTTCTATTCATCCATCTTCCAGTCCAAATCCTCTCAGACACACAAAAACATCCGCTCAGATTCCTCCTCTGCCCAGCAGGTGGGACAGGAGGATCATCCCTCTGATAAGGTACCGAGTGTGACTTCCTGTTTCATGGTGCTGTAGATTTATGACGCCACGGGCAACAACATATCATTCAGTTAATCCAAACCAGGTTGCTGTAATTATATTTATTCAACTGTAGAAAGTACTATTACTGTATGACACTACATTTAAAGCAATTATCTGGTTTTCTGCATTTATAAAAAAATTATTTTATAACACTATTTTATTTACTGTAATATAAATAAAAATATTTACTGATTTAACTTGTGTACGTTTATATAAATATTTGTTTAAAAAAATCCAAGTTCCTCTCGGGGATTAATACATTATTTCTCAGTCTGATATGTGAGGGCTTCCACCTGAAGAAAAACTATTTACTCTTAATATATTTAGAATTGAAAACTTAAAATCACTTATTTAAATATATTTATAGTGTGTGACTTTGCTATTTAACATAACTTTGTATACTAAGATGTATTACTTTTTCATAAGAAGTGGAAGAGAAGTTTTGGTGCGTACATATATTAGTCACTGTGGTCACTAGGCAAATGTAAATTGGCACGCAGTGAAAATATCAAAAGGTTGTCATAAAGAGAGGCTGATAATAATGTCTGGGCATGACCTAAACCTGGTCCAACCCGCTTTCTGTGGAAAGGCAAATTACAGAAGCAGTAAAATATCAGCTCATCCAGAGTTATGACCGACAGCTGCAAATAATTTAAACCAACTCACCCTCCTGCTTTGGTTGTTTGATGTATGGTCCATTATAGAAAAAAATAACACTTCAGGTTGACTGACTTGATAACAACCTCTGCTTTAGGTCGGTGCTGCAGATGAAAAGATTGAGAGCGCCGCTGATGGAGAGGAGCCGAATAAACCAGAATCCGAGAAGTTGGAGGAGGGATGTGGTACGTATTGTAAAACGCCATACAAGCATCATTTCATATTACGGTTGTAAATGAACAGAATTCCCCTGAATGAGTATACATCAAAAGTCATGTTCTTGCATCTTCATGGTCATTTAAATGTGCGGAATACATATGTATTTGAAAAATGTAATCTCAAAGTTTCTGCATTGTTTATTTATGATCCGTTTATTTTTATTTATTTTTTTACCCGTCGTACCACCGGCCTCTTTATCTCCATTCAGGAAGTTCTTTAGGGTCTCTGGGGTCCAGTGAGCAGCTCCCTGACTCCGACTCAGAGCAGGACGACAGCGGTCAGAGGGCCGCGCCCCCCCGCAGCCTGGTGAAGCAGGAGAGCGAGGTGAGCATGGACGACGAGCCGCTGAGCTACAGGGACAGCCTGGACCTGTCGAGTCAGTCTGCAACCCTGACCGACCCGGAACCAGAACAGGAAGAAACCCCCGACAAAGTGGAGCCTCCTGCCCTGCCAGTCAGCGGACCCCCAGATGAAGACACAGCGACAGAGGAGGAGCTGAGCGTCTCTCTGGCCGAGCTCAACGTGAACCAGCACAACAACAACAACTACCCCTGCTCCCCCGTTCTTAGCTTGTCGGGGCATCCACTGTCACGGTTGTCTGGAACGAAATTACCCCTGACCAGGAACAGGGACAGCGGGCCCGAGTTTGTCTGATATCTTTACTAAAGTCCTCGTGTGTGTATGTGAAGTCTTTACAGGGTTTCTATTCGTTAAAGTCTTTACGTGTGTGTTGATCTAAGAAACTATTTTTGCAGCAGTTTGTATTTTTAAAGCATTTTGCTCTTGCGTGCTTGATGAAAGGCAGGTAGTAAGTAACATCACAATGTGCAGGAATTCAAAGCAAATGATCTTAAAAGTGCTGCTGGTTTTATTTCAGTACTAACATTTTAAAAATAAATATAGAAGTCTTTTTATAAATGTCGCCTGTATTGCCTTGTTTTGGTCTATTTTAATAAACATTTTATTTTACACTGGTTTTGTCTTTTCATTTAGAACCTTGCTTTGATTTCTTGTTTGTGTTTAGACAAATAGGGAACCGGTAAATAACAGTGAGCAGGAACTGAATGAAGGCAGACTGCCTCTGACTGTTCTCATTCAGCTGTGTTCACTTCCTGGTAGTGGGGGGGCAGTGAGGAGTTTATTACAGTGGGTGGAGGTTTAAACTGCAGCATGTGAGGCACAAAGACTGTTCTAAAAGCTTCAGGATACAGCGGCTACGGCATGGCTTTCAAAAGTAAAAAGAAGGTAGGCTTCTCAAATCATTACAGCATAAAGTAGATAGAATAGGTGTGTTAAGTTAATAACGTTTAGGTGTACTAAGGGATTGATGTCAACTATAACATTTTCTTTTTTGGAATACTTTATTTTACAAAGTCAGAAAATATAAGAAAACAATTTAAACAATTCAAAAGTAGAAGGATCGTCCACGGATGAGTAATGAAAGATGTAACATCGCAGGTTTCCTTCACTGGTCCTCCATGTTTATACAGGAGAATATCTGAAATAAAACATGTAGACTACTTTAAAATTTTATTCAAAGCAACTACTTCCTCGTGGTTCACATGTGCATCATGAAAGGCTACTGTTACAACTGAGAGCATGAACAGACCTTGTCCGGCTGACTCTTTTTTTTTTTTGTCTGAGCTGGGATGTATGATACCTCAGTGAGGTGACATCCCTTAACTCCCATCAAAGTAAATACTATAAAAACAAATTACATATGTGTGGAATAAAGTACAACTAAAAAATGCAGCCTCTGCATGAGTATATATGCGCTGTGTATCAAAAGGATTTTGTCAGTGTGGCTGTCTCGACCTTTCAACAAGCTACATGTTTGTCCATAACACTCACCTGTCTGTCACTGCACCAGTCTGTATGTGATGTACCCTCCCAGCTGTTTCACTCGGTCTGATGATCTTTACTACCTGGAAAAGTCGTAGAAAGAAAAGCAGAATGTTAGCCTGGAGCAGAATTATTGTCATGGTGCCAGTCTATACTTTTGGCCACCATTATCAGTAGTATTGCAAAATCTATTTGCACAGGTAAATGATGCAATTTGGAAACGAGCAACAATGCTGGAGGAAATGTATAATAGGACCAACATCGTAGAAAAACGAACTGATCATTTAAATGTCTTTCACACAACATGTCTAGTAACAAGTAGTGGTTATAAAAATCAATTTGTGTTATCACTCCTTTACTGAAAATCATTTTACCAAGATCAAATATAAAGCACCATGCAGTCACATAATACTGATAATGTTATGCATTTAAGTAAAAGGGCCTCTGGATGAGTTACCTGTCCTCTCTTCAAGCCAAAGTAGCGAGCTACGGGGTCTCCAGCCTGGATCCTCGGCAACTGACTTTCCTTTAGTTTACTGAGACAAAACGTTAAGGAAGTAAAACAAACCAAACAAAGTGTCTTTCTTTAGGTAAATTAACTGCCATTTTATACCATTTGTATGAATAGTAAGTACTCCAAAGTCAAATTGCATTTTCTGCCGGCAAATCTCAACAGTGCAGTGGGTGAAAGGATACTATCTTAGCAGAAGTTCAACCACTTCCTCTTTTAGCATAACGATGTGCTCTGGAACAAGCTGAAAAACAGAAAAGAATACAGAAAGTAAAATGTTATTCTACATCAGAATCTACGTCTGTTAGAGTTTTAAATATGGTGTCAAAGGGATTGCAATTCAGTGGATTCATCAGTCTGTTGTTTACCTCGTGCTCTGTGATGTTAATGAGCAGCTCCTGTTGTAAGAACTGTTCCAAAATGTACTTGGGGGCCATGTCAACTAGAGACTGAAGGGAGACATTTCAATCAACATGTTAACAGCAAAATAAAAAAAGTCAACGGTCGAGAAGAAAGTCACATAATTAATACAAGAGAGGTTCTGCAATCTCTGTTTTTCAAATACATTTTTGCGTCAGTTGTTTAATATAATAATATATAATGTGTGTGTTTACCTGTTTGGCTGATGGTGTCATGCCTATCTGAACAACAATGATGGCTCGTGTAATGTTTTCCTCCTGCATCCTCTGACAGTACATCTTAATCGTCTTGATTCCAACCTTTGGCTCCTCTACAAAGTGAAGAAAAATACGACTTAATCATATCACAACGCTGAATGTTTCAAAGGAACAACCATAAATTCTAGATTACACACTAGTCTCATATGTTTATACAGAGGGCTTCTATCCCTCTAGTATTTAATAATAACTCTTAACCTACCTGGAAAGAAAATGAACATCTGGTCGGTGGGGTCATCGTTGTGCGCCACCAGCACGGTGAGGTCTGTGCGCCGGGGCCGACCCTCGCTGGGTTTGTCTCCAAACTGACTCTTGAACTCGTCCAGCGTCTGGTCCAACTCGTCCTGAGTCACCAGGTAGCCTCTGTCATGGCACAGCTGAGGGGGGACAGATGAAACCATCAATTCATTGAGTGTATGGTACAAATCATAATGTTCAAGAGCAAAATATTTCTAGTCCATGTAGTTCTCCGGATTACATTGAGATTTTAAATGTTCTAATGTTTCCTACATGGACAACATTTGAAATGTTTCCAATAGCTCAAACCTGTTATAAGTGTAAAACACACAAAAGTACATTTATCCACTTGTTCATGTGATCACATACAGACATTTTGGGAAAAGGGTTCATCATTTTACATTTAAAACTAAACGTTCTTTCTAATACGGACACCAGATTATTTCATTTCTAGCAAATTCAAGTTTATCTTGCTTCAGTGGTCTGCTCAAATCACCCCATGATTGGCTAATATAAATCATGGATATGGGCTTTTCCTTCTTCATATAAATAGACTTAGGATCCCAATAATGAATCTGACTAATTCCAGACACTCTGGAAAGCCTTGTTTTCTTTCAGCAACTCTGAATCAATGGCTGGTTGTTTTATTCGTAAAATGTGATATTTATGTATTTCCTGTCATATTCCTATACTTCTACTACCGTCTGTATTTCCATTGTATTTTCATGCAGCGTCGTTTGTTGGTTTAGCGAGGGAACTCTGTTGTGAAGTAATCATAATCATCTGAAACTACAACATACATATGTGGGCCAGTTACTTACACTTACTATTACTTAAAACAAAGTTAAGATTTGTTGACCGGATTAAAGGCACTTTGGCAGACAGAATTGTGCTTCTTGAAACACAATTCTAACTAAATGTGCAAAGCAAACAAACTTATTCAGGAATTTAGAGAAGTGACACTGATCTAAATATCTAAATTCAAATAAAACTCAGTTGTTTCTAACATCACAGAGCACCGCAGCTAAGCTACATGCTAAATCATGAAGCTAAAAACACATTGAAATCTAACCCACCTGCATGATGGTTTTACGGATCTTCCATAGCCTGTATGTTTCCTCTTCATCATCCATAGTATCTCAAAGGTTTAACTTGTTTGATATTTTATCAAAAACAATTATTTATATTTGTTAATTTATCCCTTTAGCTCCTGTGTACATGCGACGCGCTATGCACGTTACAGTCTAACCGACGCAAACTGATGACGTGTAAACTGAGTAGCAGAATGTGGGTGGAGTTTAGCATAAAGACTACGTTTCTAAATTAAACTTGTTATTTGTATTATATGTACAATAATAAATATACTATAATAATCATTTTAATGACACAAAATGTTATCATAATAAAACAAATTAATTGTCAGTAGTTTTGTTTTCAGTCTTCTGTTTCCGGTGCAGTCTCATAACAAACTGCGGGGCGGACGGATCAACAACGAGAGCAGCTTTTGAGATAAATGTGGCCTCTTTGATAACCAAGATGAGGCCATTATTTATTATTTTGACATTCGGAGCGGTGGCGAGCAGTGGAGTACTACTGGCGATGGTATTTTATTTTGTTTTATCCACAACGGTAACGTAAACCTTAATGGTTGTTGGTATGGAGCGTGCTGCTCTGATTTCCTATCTGCGTAACAGTGATGCCAGGCTATTATCGACACATGAAACAACCGCTGTCCTCCCGATTAAAATTATATCTAATCAATATAACGAGTGATATATCAGTGATAAGTTACTGCCTGTAGCCAAAACGTCAATAATCTGAGCTCCTCGTTGCTTTGCATAACATAGCCTTTAAGTTCATTAACGTGATTTTACATAGTGCAACTAGCATATGTACCTACATATTACTTCATTAAGATTTTTAGTGTGAGAATAATAGTTCAACAGTTCATATGACTTAGTGTAACTCGTAAAATATTGGATGTGTTCGGCAGCAGCACCACCCATCATCTGGCTGCAGCTGGGGTCAGCTGATAGGCTATCAGTCTGAAGTGCAGCAACATGACCAGTCATTGGAAGGTTTCATAACACAAGGTCGATGCTCGGTACAGCTGAAATGTTATGTTAGTATACGAGTACAATCAAATTGACTTTACCAGCATCATTAAAACAATAAGTCCCACAAAATATTAATCAAAGAAGGGAATTCTCTGAAAAATAAGGGATAAAAAGAGGAGTAGAAGAATAAAGTACTTTAAAAATAAAGGTATTTAAGTGAAGTACAAGTATGTCAAGGTTACATTTAAAGACAGTTGCCTACTTGAGTAAATGTACTTCATACAGTTCAATCTTGCAAAGAAGTTTACAATAAATACTTGTTAACAATGCCAATAGTAGAAGGGGGCTCCTGGCTGTGACTGCTTAATCTTATATGATTCTGTTTTCTTCAAGGTTGTGTCTTCCTGGTCGAATGTACTTATTGTAAGTCGCTTTGGATAAAAGCGTCAGCTAAATGCAATGTAATAATGTAATAATAATTATCATACACATAAAATGTGTAATATCTCTATTCTCTCTTTTCGTGTATTCCAATTCACAATAGGATGTTTAAAATACAAATTCCTTTATCTTTCAAAGCCTATCTATTTATGTAATTTTCATTGATATAGCCTATAGTTTTGACTCTTTAGTTGTTTATTTTGAATCATACAGTAAATTATCTGTAAAGATGTGTATGGAATAGGGCTTATATTGTGTAACCAGCTGGATTTCTAGAAAATTGTGAAATAATCTTGAAAAAATCAGATAAGTGTGTTGCTCAACCACTCAGCCTGGTGTGTAAGGTTTTGCCTGGTCATTCTTCTGGTTATTATGGATTGGTTTTTGCAGGAAAAATATTCTGGAAAACTCCATGGGCAGGTACAAAAAAACAGATTATTTTGAATCACAAAATCTCTTGTTTTGCTATGATAAATTGGTAGAATAAACAAGTGTTTTGGGCGCAGCCTTGTGACTTTTATGAGATTTAAGGGGTTATGTGTGCTTATTCACTGCTGCAAAAAGCTGTTTTTCATTCCAATGTTAATCTCATAAGTAGTTTATGTAATGTTCAGACTGTTGCTCTTAACGCTGGCCACAAGAGGCTCAACCACACATGGCTCTTTTAATGAGTCTGAGGACTTTGAGAACCTTCATTATGAAGTTACCAAATGTTGTGGACTGTGGACCGCAGTACATGTGTCTGTCTGACGTAGAAGTTTTAGCCAACAGCAGAGAGGGACCTATTGGAGAACCAGAGCTTATCAGTTCGGTTAATGATCACCCGCTCCCTTGACTTGAGGACACTGCATCGCGTCCTCATCCTCAGTGGTCGGATTGTGGTCTGACAGTGAGGGTGTAGAGAACATTACTCGGGCGCTTTACAGATTGTATCGCTTTCTGCCTTCAGAGGGGCGTACTGAAGGACAGTCATGCGCCTGTTAGGGTCCACTGTCCTTTTCTCTGTCCTGCTGCAGGCTATGGTAAGAAAAAAGTAGGACTGAAACTCTGGATTATGTTGCTTTTGGAAGATGGCACATTTTTTCCAACTGAATTGATAATTGAAAGTGTTCTTTTAATCTTTTTTTATGTTGTGTAGGATATTCTATTATTTAAGATATTCGTATTTAAATATTTGCATACAAAAGAGATTCGTCTCTCTTTGCTGTCTTCACAAATACATTTTAAGGGGAAATGCGTATGTCGCTGATATATTTGCTGGGTCATATTTCTTGTTATTTGATATTCCTTAAGCAGCATAAAAGTGCATTTTGAAAATGAGCTCCCTTAACTCAACTTTTTTCCTCCTCACAGTCTGTTCCGACAGAGGACTGGCAGAGGGCCACGTCTATTTATGACTTCTCAGCAACAGATATTGATGGGAATCTGGTTTCCCTAGAAAAATACAGGTATGTCTTTTTTATTTTCCCTAAATGTACTAAAGCATAAACATACCATCACTAAATCCTTATGCATCTGTTTCTTTGTGTTTTCAGGGGGGATGTTGTCATCATCACCAACTTTGCCTCTAAATGAGGTAAAACCCCAGTAAACTACTCTCAGTTTGCGGAAATGCACGTCAAGTACGCTGAGAGAGGTTTACGCATCCTCGCCTTCCCTTCCAACCAGTTTGGAAACCAGGTACGAAACACATCAGAGTTTTATTAATGTGCAAAGCTAGAAAAGGCATTATTACACAAGCTGGAGATCTGAAAATGTCACATAACTGGGAACAGTAAACAGAAAGATCACATTGCAAAAGATGGAATCCAGCCCTAATATTTGCAAAAGGCCTATTCAACAGAAGGGGACATCACGTTGTAGTACACTAAACCAACATTTGCTTTTTCTTCATTGGTTTAGTAGGGCACTTTAACCTGCGTGGCTTTTGACTCTTGCTGACACGTCTATTTCTCTCATCTTGTTTTACTTTGAAGGAGCCTGGAAATGAAACTCAGATTAAGCAGTTCGCCAGTTCCTACAACGCTCAGTTTGACATGTTCAGCAAGATCGATGTGAACGGGGACACTGCTCATCCTCTGTGGAAGTGGCTGAAAAGTCAGCCCAATGGGAAAGGGTTCCTGGGAAAGTAAGTAGTGATTTTATAACATGTAAGTAAGTGGCGGTTCTAGACCAATTTGACTGGGGGGGCCACTGGGGGGCCAGTTATTTTATGAGGCGGGCACAATAAATGCAGGACGAAAAAGAGAACTAGACAGTATGAAGTAATTGCGCATAAGAAAACAATGCATTACAGTTATTGGTATTTGTTTCAGTACACTTATTTATTTCAGATAGATCTTATAGTTATTACTGTTAGCTTCAGCTTAAGTTATAGTGCAATGTTTGCACTAACACCATATTTATATAAAAATAAAGGCAATGAACAGTTACATCTCTACTTTACATAAGGGTGTCTGCACAATCTCACATTACAGCAACAAAATCCTGCGGTTTTTGGCAAACCGAGTACCAGAAAATATACATTTAAAAAAAAAAAAAAACCTTTCATTGTTAGGGGGGGTCAGAGGTTAGGGGGCACTGGGCCCCCCCTGCCCCCCCTAGAACCGCCCCTGTATACAGTATTGATGATGACATGATACACTTATCTACAAACTGATTGAATTAAAACCAGATCATATTAATCAACTATTGATCATCATAGTCTATTTTTTTTACATGTGATTTGTTTTCATTCTTGCAGCAGTATCAAGTGGAATTTCACCAAGGTAAATATCAGTCATTTTATATAGACGATACAATGGTTGTTATATCTGACATTTAATCCTATATTCCTGTAATGTACATCAACGTTAAACAGGTGCCCTAACTATATAGGGTAGATAATACGTAACAGAAGAACTCTGTGAACTGTTAAATGTAAAACAGATAATGATTGTATTTCATATTTTAAGTCTCTATAAATATATGTCTTTGAGTTGTATTTTTTGTATCTTTCTCTTTAGTTCTTGATCAACAGAGAGGGTCAGGTGATGAAGAGATATGGACCCCTCAATGATCCAAGTGTAAGTACACCTGTCTTAATTTGCCACCGATAGTATGGTGTATATAGCCTGACTGTAGCACCCTTCATATATTATTTTAGCTTTAATCTTTTAAATACGGCTGCGTAATTATTTGCCTTTTATGGGCCTAGTGACACAGGAAAGAGCTTATCTGGTAATATGTGAAACAATCTAGACATTGTTTACAGAAAGAAAAAGGTTCTGCAATTTTGTCGCAAAAAATATAAATAAGTTAAAACTAGGATTTTAAATGTATAAAAAGGGCAAGAGGGAGTGTAGACATAATTGTGCATTTAACATGATTTTACCTTTCATATAAACTATGTGTGTCTGTGTATGTTAAAATAGCCGTTTCTTTAAATAGTATATACAATGTGTGCTTCTTCTCTTCTTCTTCTTTCATTAGGACAGTAGATTTGAACTTCTTCTCTTCTTCTTTTTTCCAGGTGGTGGAGAAGGATCTTCCTCAATACTTTTAAATAGATGATTGATGCCTCACTTACAGAAACTCTATCATATAAGCTCCTTTCTCTGGCTCTCCCTGGCACCAGTGGATAAAGTTTGGGTTTCCCCCCAGACCAGTGACGGCCTGTTCATAAACCCGCATGGCGGACAGAGCAGACCTGATGAAAATGGCGTGCAAACCTGCTTGGAAGAAAACCAGACTTGCTTTCATTTGGTTCTAGAGAGAGAAGGGGAAAGGA